CCCCCACTTATTTTGAAACCAAAACCAAGCCCGAGGGGACGATAAAAAAATTTTGCGACCCCCCCCCCCCCCTTTTCCCAGGGTCCCACCGACCAGCCCCCCCCCCCCCCCCCCCCCCAACCCACCCTTATCTGAAGGTCTGGATCTGCCGCTGGTTTGCAAACAAAAACAGATACGCGTGGACGGGGCCTAAATGAGGCCCATGTTACTAACCTGCTGGTCTTTCAACAAGGTGTAAAAGGCCAAAGCAAAAGCCACCAGGAACAGCACAAATATCAGGAAAAACTTCGTGAATGTATACATTATACTGGTAAACATCACAACGTATATTCCAAGCCTGGGAAACTTTCTTATGAACAACACCAGGGCCATCCAGGCACAGAAAATTGATAATGCTCCAATGGTTTGTTTGTCTTCACTGCATCTGTGGAACACACAAGAAAATACATAAGACAGCGTCGTCTAGTTTCAATAACACCAACTTTGAAAATTCCACTAATTTTTTTTATCAGTGCCAAGCAAGTGAATAATAATGGGCAAAGTTTAAACTAAGCAGGTATTTGAGCACAGCAGAAACTAGTCATCATCGTCTAAGGTCATGGATTGCTAGGGCGCTTATTTGAGTTTGAGTGGGAGTGGGCGCTTATTCGAGGCTGGGCGCTTATTTTAACGTTTTCTGCCTTTAGGACGGGCGCTTATTCGAGGTGGACGCCAATTCGAGGTTGGGCGCTTATTTGAATAAATACGGTATGCAAGCAAATAATTATGGGGAGTTACCAGTTAAGACTGGGACAGCTTCACTGACCCATCAGTCGAAAAATTACCTGTTTACCAACGGAACGTCAAATTCATCCGCCACATAAATAATGGCTAGCACGTACACAGCCCACTCCAAAAGGTTTTCAAAAATAGAATATTGTCTGCGCTGGTAAAACATTTGGAATAACTGAAAGAAAAAAATAAAAGGCATTCCCATGTAACAATGTTAATCTAAAACATGAAAGACCACACACAGGAGAAAAGCCTAGTACATTTACTACTACGCCGGGGACACAGGCGAATCGGAATGAAAACATCTGTGACTATGATCTTCCAACAGGGTTTGAACCGTCTGCTTAACATTCCAGATGCTCTACCACTAAGCTACAAAAGACGCATCAAAGCGAACGCCAATGAACTACGTTCATATGACAGACATCCTGGGACAGGCAGAGGAAGGTATACTCTGTTTTATTACGTTTCCTGGGTTGGTTTAGATGAAGTACGTTTACCCAAGGCAGAAGGTTAAAAAGGCCACGTTCACAAATCATGAAAATAGTTCCTCTCTTCAGGTTGGGTTTTCTCAGAAGAATGTCAAATATGTCGGGAAATTTTAGTACCTTTACCCGTCACCAAATGAAGAAAATATATCAAGATAATGAACGCTAACATATAAGAATACTTTAAAACGTATATGTAAGAATTACACAACAATCAGACCAAATAGCGTAATATTTCGGTTCTTATTACCAGGAGATTATTTGTTAATGGTCGTGTAATAAAGGCTGGGAACCGATATGGATTCAGTCGCCGAACCAAATGCTAAAAATCCTTATGATGTATTTAAAATCCAATGCGCATTTTTAACCTTTTGAATTATAAAAGTGTGAATAAAAATTGAATTGAATTGAATTGGTTCGGCTACAATACGGTGACAATAGAGTTCGGCGTCCGAATCAATTCAGCCGGCCTAACTCAATTTGGATCGGCCTAAATCGAATTCGATTCTACTCGTGTTTAGTAAGGTGTCTGACCCAGGCCTAACTTTCTTCATCAAGTACGATTAGTTGAAACTGTAGTCACAATACAGCGTATGACGACCTAGTCTGCTACACAGCCGCTTTTAGCGTCGTCACGCAAAGCTGGGGAGGAGCGTTGCGTGACGACTCTAAAAACGGCTATGTAGCAGACTAATGACGACCTACCTCAGAGAGTATGTGCCAGGATGCTAATGCCAAAATAACAATACGGCCAACCTCTATCCATAGAAAATACGGAACAGATTCTTTTAGGTCATTACTAACAGCAGCGTTTGTTTTATTGCAATTTGGGGCGTTATCAGTGGAGTAGACAGTATAACCAGTCAAGAAAAACAGGAAAATTATATAAAGAGAGAGCTTAAAGTAATAGATGTATCTTCCAAACGTCTGCCATTTGTAATGTAGCAGAAAGGTGACTAGGGGATGACCAAGCAACTGTTCTCTTTGGTTCTTTACCTGCAACAATGAGGAAAAACATTCGACTGTTATTCATTTTACACCATGGAGTCTTTAAAAATCGATTATGGAATTTAAAAGAGTTTGTTTTCGGGGAGATCGAGAAACGGTAGTACCAAGGAACAAAGAAAGACCCGCACGGATCACCGACGGGAGTCAACAACAAACTCAACCCACAAATGACCTCACCTCCGGCATATGAACCCAAGCCACAAAAATGGCCACACCCGGGGGTGGGGGTACAGCGGAGTGACGGGGATGATCAAATGGGGGAAAAATCGAATCCCTGCCCCCCTCCCCCCTCCCCACACACACACACACACAAATCCTCAGGACTTCAAAGGAAAACCAATAAATCACCTAGATTAAACATTTAATACCCCCAAAAAATCCCAATTTCCAAGCCCTAAAAATTTTCCATAAAGGAATAAATGATATGATACGCCACAAAAACAAAAAAGGTAGTTAAAAGTTTGGGGTTGTTTAGCCATCGTACCGCGTGAATTTTATATTTTTGTCATCTAGTAGTATAAGAACTACACGGCTGGAATACACGCGCGTTACTATACCAATCTTCAGATTGTTTCGAATAATCAAAAAAACCCTACTACATCAAGGCACCCAAAAATATATTTGCCAAATTTTCCCACCCGAAAAATCCCGGAAGGGAAAATTTCAAACCCCCAAAAATCCTTCGATCATACTTGTCCCTTTCACTCTGGACGAATCCACCTCCCCCCCACCCCCTCCACACACACACTAGGTCACAAATTATCAGAACACGTATTATCACCATAATCATCAGCGGATGGCTTTTCTTTTCTTCCAGCTGCTTAACAGCCTCTTCCATTGCAGATTTGCCTCTGAGTCTCTGATACATATCGTCTTCTGGAATTTCATCTTCCATGGAGAAACTCGCCACACTGGAAGTCTCGGATGCTGTTCCATCGTTGTCTAACCAGTCAGAGTACACGTCTTCCAAGAATTCATAATAGAGGGTGATCTGATAGTTTTCGTCTTCAGAATTAACACCACTTTCTTTGATACACCGGTTGAATACGATCTCTGCCACTTCTGAAGAGACCAGGACAAATAAAATGACCAAAAATTAGGTGCGTATAGTTTTCAGAATTTTACAGAGTAGGGAAGGAAACTCAAAGTCAAACTGGAACATCACAGGAATAGAGCCAAGGTCCGCATTTTGCATGATAAAGTTTGCTATCTTTGGGAAACAAAATCTGTCTGTGCCTGACAGGGTTCTATCTAGGATTTATCATTTGGGAGAGAAGTCCTGAGTGGCCGAAGGTTACAAGCCTCCTCGAGGGGTCCCCCCCCGGAAATTTTTTGAAATAAATATGCACTGAGATGCAATCTGGTGCATTTTGAGACACAATTTTGAGAAATGTTACAGTGTGTGCACTAACCTCGTCGCGTCTTGATGATTTTTTCGATATAGTTACTTATATACTGTAATGATAACAATATTTTCTTTTTTTTGGAGGGGGGGAAGCTTCTAACCCTCAAATACCCTATAGAACCCTGCCTGAGTATCATAGACCTATTCATATGATGATTGTATGTCCTTTACTGCACAAGAAAAAGCTTGATAAGCCCGGGTACTGTTCCATCTTTCATCGATCACAAAACAAAATAGGAAGAGAATACATAAGAAATGGTGGGAACATCTCCTGTCTTTCAGTTAAAAAATGATGATTAGAGCAACTGCTCACATTATTGCAGCATTTCTTGAAAATGGTTTAAGGATCTTTAAAGAAAAGCAGTCATTTTAATTTATAATATTAAAATCCCCTCTTGACGTTAACCCTTTAAACCCTAAGATTAAAATTTGAATTCTCATTTGTTGCCTTTATCATTTCCTACAGAAGTGGTGGGGAGAGGTTGATAAACAACCAAATTCATCTTGTGTGATCATGTCCGTAATTCTCATGACCACTCTGTTTTACAAAGCATTGATATTAAAAGGAGAAATTTGATGCTGATTACTCCTAGGGTTTAAAGGTTTACACATACCAGGAAGTTTAATAATTAGTTTCCTCATTGGTGTGGTTACTCGACGTTGTTCCCAAGTCTTGTTCCGCATGGCTTGCATCCAGTTTTCGTCATTGACAATAGCGCGTGCTGCTTCCCTGAAACCAAAAAGACGCTTTAAGAAAGGATTGTGCAGCTTCATACAAAATTCAAAGAGCTGGCGTATACTTGTGAAACACAAAACAGAGGAAGCCAAGTTAGTGTACCAGGGTTAAATACTTTCAGCAAATGATACCTTTAGCAGATACGATATTGTATATCGTTGTAATGATTATGCGAGAATAGAACCGAAACACCAAAAGATTTGGAAGGAGGAAATTTCATGTTTAGGTGATATATTACACACGGAAGTGTTTTTACCCGAGGACAAAAATAATGTGATACCTAGACACTGAGAAGTAGGTTAAAATCGACATGTAGCGGCGTTTCTTTTTGCATACCACGTTCGAGTTGTCAGGATATCGAGATGGACCATTGTATCGCGAGTATAATATAGCTCCTCAAACAAACAATCATAATTAAAGAATTCGAAGCTTAAAATTGCCTATACATATATTATAAGTTCCTTGGTTTCCCCTGCAAGACTAATTGACGAATTTGAGACCACACTCAAAAGTTATTGTAATCTATCCGATATCCACAAGACACCAAATGTTGGAGACTGGGATCGGGTGTACTTTGCGGTGGTAACAGGTGTAACAACAATCACTTCATACTTGCGACCATTATCTATCGCTAAATCAAGACAGTTTCGTCCTGTGTGGTCTGTAAGCGTTATATCGGCTCCTTTGGACAGTAACAGGGATACAACTTCAGGGTGTCCCTCTCTTGCAGCCAAGTGCAATGGAGTAGTCTGTAAAAACAAAGACAAATTTTCATATAAACAGGGTACAGAGCTCTTAAGTCAGAACTTGTCAAATCGAGAGTAAACTTCAAAACGCGACCAGCATTAGATTCGAGGACGAAAACGACTACGACTTCGAGATCTGATTTACCATTTCTTCGCGTATTGTCAAAAAATAGTTTTTCTCACCAGAAAAGTTGGCACTGTTATCTTTATTGGAGGAGGTTAAACCCTCTCCCGATCGCAAAATGGTAAAACTTCTAACATTTGATAACTTATTTCCGCCACTTCGAGAATGACGACGGTTATCGCGTTTTCCGCCATAATGACGCTGGTTCAAGCGAGCGTACTACTTACTATTGAGAAAATCTCGCACTCGTGGTCGTCCTCGTTTTAGAATCTAAAGCTCTCTATTTACTCTCATATTACCACTTCGTAATAAAACTGACGCCTGGTAATTGCAGATTAGAAAGGGACGGTTGACTAGAACTAGAAGCAATAATATATAAGGGAAGATCATGGAAAATATTACTGTAACCCCAGAATACCAACAAGAAGGCATACATATTCGTTTGTTTACCTTTGCTTTATCTGTGGGATCAATAGGTGAATCAAACTCCAGCAACAGACTAGCCACTTTCAAATGGCCTTTGGCTGCAGCACAATCTAATGGGGTCCATAATGTCGAGTTCCTTCAATTAAACAGTAGAATGCAAAAATAGCGCTTACTAATGACTACTCATGCGCAACAGTTTGTCGGTATATAGGCATAAATAAAAAAATGAATTGTATTATATACATACAGCCGACTCCCGATAATTCGAACCTTCAAACGAAAAGTTCGAGTTCGAGTTATCGAGCGTAACATTGTATAGAAAACGATTTGATGGGAAATGAAAATTGCTTCGAGTTAGCGGAAGGTTCGAAATTAGAGGGTTCGAGTTACCGGGATGTCGACTGTATAAAACCTACAGTAGGCACATGCGAACAAGAGATAATATGCGGATTATTTGGACTTTTCTAAAGCACATATAACACCCGAGCAATGAAGCAATCAAGATAGTTTACTCTGTCAACCTCGTCCCCAGGGCGCTTTTCCCTGGCTTTGGAGGCGGGAAAAGCGCCCTGGGGACGAGGTTGTTACTCAATGTGACACTTGCAGTTATATTACGCCGACAGAGACAGCCATTCTTAAATAAATTCACCATTACTTAAATTAAGGTAAGAGAGAAGGAGCTAAGATTAGCTCATTATCTCTTAATTAAGGTTATATTCCAAAGCATTGCTGGAAATTAGAATTATAGCTTACCCCCCCTCCCCCCCCTCTTCAGAAGGCTACCTGGATTTAAAACAGGAAATTCAGCACGTCCTAAAGGCACTCGAGCGGGGTGACCTGCCCGTGACCCAATTTCTTAAGGACCGTCTACACACATAGACAGAATCCATCAACTACACAAAAGGGACCTTAAGATAAGATGACGGCGGCCGCAACGTGAACATCGAAAAGGCAATATGTTGACAAATGTAGATTGGCAAAACAACTACTTTGCACGTGCAGCACGTTTTTTTTCTGTACGTTCTTTAGCGTCCCTGCACGACTGCGAAGTGAAAGAAGTTGAAAATGCCAAACTTAACGTTTTATTCTGGACATAAACAACCGCGACGAAATTTTCTTTCTCTTTCTGAACTTGGATATGGTTCTCTCTAGGAGAACTCGCCTGACAAACTTAAAGCACATTAGGACAATCTTAATTAACACTGAATGAACGCAAATTGTCAAGCAACGTTTTCATCTCATCGCCGTCCTCGGATCTTAACATCCCTAATATCTGGCAGAAAGGTTACTAAACCAATACCGTTATGTGTTACAGAAGTTCTTCAGGCGCGGATCCACACCGGTTTTACGGAAATCGGTCAGATTTTTCATAATATAGATATATTAAAGAAAAAACTTTCCCAGTTTCAAGGCTTCATCCGAGGAGAATAGAACTGGTTAATATCCTGTCTGAATGACTCAGAAACCCAGGAAAGGGGACTTAAGCAACTTAAAATCGAAAACATTTCTCTTGGGGGCATGCCCCTGGACCCTCCCTAGAAGCTTGCCCCTTCGGCGCTCGTTTAGGAAATCGGTCAGTATTTACCCTAGATCCACGCCTCTTCTTATCTAAAACTAGCAAACATAACTATTGGAAAATTACTTCAATATGTTGTCTCTTTTAAACAATGTCCCAGGACCTTATTAGCTGGAGTTAAAGAAAAAACGCTCTAGCCAACCTTGCGTCCACTTCAGCTCCTCGCTCTAATAATTCTTTGCAGCACTTTAAGTGACCTTCAGTTGCCGCAAGGTGGAGTGCTGTGTTTGAGGCTTCATCTTCATCATTGATGATTGAAGGATCTTTTCTAAGGAGTTCAACTACAGTCCTGCGTAAAACATCAGCGATTTTGTTACAAATAGTTATGGTGAGTCCTGGGAATCATCTTGTGAAAAATCACGAGTCCCAGTCAAGAGCCAGTGAGTCCCAGTTAAAAAAAAACGAGTCCGAAATTGAAAATGCTGGGCCGGGGCCTTCATGTAACCAGACATTTAATCTGAAGACAGACTCCAAAACGCTGTATTGCAGTATACTGATATTAAAATATAGTCCTTCTATTTTAAAAGCACAACAAAGGCCGAAAGAAATATGCATAACTGCCACAGAAATCACACGAACGGGATATTTCTACAAATATGATGTTCAGATCTATCGTCCTACGGGACGCATGCCATGAATTATTTTGCGTCTTTGGGGATTTCTATGGATCAGGGACCCAGGACGCCAAGGTAACAAAATCACTGCAGATAAGTAACCTAAATCTGTGGAGCATTTAAATTTTGATATTATTTACTTTCTTCTCTCGTTTTAGAAACTCAGTAAATGTCAAACACCAGCCTCGTACCCAGGCTAGTTCGCGCTATCCGAGTTACCAAAGGAGGCTTGGAACCAAGTGCGAATTCTCTCGACAAGCTTGAGAGGTGACATCCTCACATCCGAAATCGCCGAGGAACTCTGGGAGCGAGGCTGGTCAAACACATCAGAAACCACTTGATCGATCGCAATAATGATAAAGGTAACCTGGCGTTTATTGGAAGGTGTGCACTTAATCAAATGAATGATAGGTAAAGGGAGAAACCGGGTAAATAAAGCTGTATATAGCATTACCTTACTTTTCCATTTTCTGCTGCCAAATGCAAAGGAGTATTCTCATCCTCATTTCTTGCATCTATCCTGGCATCATGACTCAATAATGCCTAAAAATCACAATCAACAACCCAGTTTAGATGTCCGTAAAATGTTTCCCATAATCATCATTCAATGCAAACGACAATGTCACGACCTTTTTACTAATGTCAAGTAAAATTACAATTATTTTTAATGCCTTTAATTTCAACAAATTTAAAACAATTATTATATCTTCACAGATTGATTTGTTCCCAATAACACCAGGGGCGGGGGGGGGGGGGGGGGGTTATAATATTATAAAAAAAATTAATGTTATTAATTATGATTCTATTATCACTATAACATAAACTAAATATTAGTTGTAATGTCGTATGTGGACCGTGGCGACCGAGGGGGGGGGGGGGGGGGAGGGGGGGGGTAATGTCTGCCCCATAACATGCCGTAAAACATTTCTTGTATAAAAATGAGCCATTTGGGGTTCATCTTCCTGAGAACTTTTGCAGCCGCTTTTTGCTGAAAAATTTTCCATATTCAGTATGATAAACCAATCTATGAAGAAGTACGGTATTTTTGTTTTAAAAGCAAGAATTTAAAATTTTTATACTACTACATGAGAAACGTCTGCAATTTGATTGGCTTAGAGCAGTGGTATTTCAGCTTAATTTGAAATACCTACATGTGAAAATTACAAACCTTTTGCGGGTAGTAGTATAAACAAATAATAGCATGATTTGCACGTGATACTTGGCATAAATACCACTCGTGATATTTCAAAATTGTCTCAAATTTCACTCTCCTAACGGCTCGTGAAATTACGTACAACAATTTTGAAATGTAACTCGTGGTATTTATGCCAAATATCACTACAAATCATGCTATTACCTATACAAATTTTGTGTCAAAAAGATCCATCTCACTAATATTACACGAATGCAAAAAATTTTGCAACTGTCCAACCTCAGTCACTAAGGCATATCCCTTTTTAGCAGCAACATGGAGAGGTGTATTTTCATAGAGATCGCACTCATCCACAAGAACTTTAGCATCACCGTGCTTCAGGATTTCCTGTAAAAGAAAAATTCAAAGTACTTTTCAAGCAATCATAAATTCCTTCACGGCATCCTTTTTTATTACGAAGGACTACCAAACATTTTTATTCTTTTGAAATTAATATTATATTCACAAATTTTTATAATTTTCAGCATTCTACAGTATCTCCACCATCATTTGTTGGCTTCACACTAGAGCTTCAAGTATAATGTAAGTGTACTTGGAACCTACTTTGAGTGTGACGGGGGTAAAATGTACCTACTTCAAATTTACTTGGTGACCATAAAAACGTCTGTAGTTCACAGAAGCCGAAGTTCGCCTCCAAGTATGGTCTACACCACACTTGAGAACACACTTGACCGAAAAGAAATGGAAGCCATGTGCACGATACGCACGTGTAGCGGTTCCAGGACAGCTTTTACTTCAAGTAATATACTTTGCTAACAAGTGGGAAGCCATGTTTTCTACAGAGCGACATAAGATTTCGAAGTGCACTTGAATCAGGTGCTTACTTGAACCTAACTACGCTTCTAGCGTGACGCCAACAACTGGCTTGCGGCCTTAAAGTCAAGAATTTGTCACTCAAGGTTCCACATGTTGTGGAATTATGTACAACTATGTATTGACAACGAAAATCTTTGACTAATAAGTGTCCAACCATTTGGATAAAAGGGATTGTCCACTATATGTTATTTGGTACAGTAAAAAGATAAGTACAGTCTCAAACTAAACACGTCATACCCTTAATGTATCAATGCAGTTTTCCTCGGCAGCTAAAAAAATTGCAGTTTTGTCTTGGGTATCCTTAGCCTTTAAGTTTGCTCCTCTGTTCAACAGAAGCTGTACAACATTTGTATGTCCCTCACTGGCAGCAACGAGCAGTGGAGTGTAGTTGTCTTTATCAAGGCATTCAATGTCGGCTCCTCTGCAGAAAACCAGTGAAAAATGCTTGATGTTGTAGAAATGTTATTTAACATCTCTGTCTTACTTTGTTTCCTTCTTTTTTGGGTCATGGGGGAATAAAAATTTTCATTGGAGTAAGATTCTTATTTCTTACCGACATGGAAATAACGTCTCTATTTATTCATTTTCAATTAAAGTTAATAGAAGTGGATTATTTTTCTTAAGTTTGTGCTCTATGGCCTCAACCAATAATTAACCATCTGAGCTAAAATCAAATAACTGTACAATACGGCCGGCTAAGAAATCTATATTTCTGTTGTTTGATTTCTGTTGTTTGATTGCCTTTCCTTGGCCCCTCGCTCGCGCGTTCTCGCGAGGCTCGCTTTGCTTGCCCAAATAGGAGAGCTTTCTCGCAGGCTAGCTAGGAGGAATTATGGTTAGCTTTCTAAGAAGCGTGACTCAATAGGCAAAGCAATGTAAACAGAGCATCCAAATGTACACTCCAGGTCTCTCTCAGAATTGCGCGGAATGAATGACATAAAAACTAATCGTAAGCACGTAGTCTGAAACTGAATGACAATCATTCCGTGCGCTCATTTTAGGCTAGTAAGCGCACCTTTTTTTGAAAATTTACTTTTATTTTTACCTGCTGCTTTGGAAGTCTTACATATGAAGTAACTTTTTTGCATCAGTATGACTCCACGATAATTTAATTTATGGTCAGAAAAGAATATTCTGATGTCAATAAGCAGCCTGGATTGAAAACTACTGGGCCCTTGCCCATTGGGCAAAAAAATAAGCTTTGCACTAGGTAACTTGCCCGGCAAAAAAATCTACTTCTCTCTAGACTACTGGACTTGAACTTCAAGCCCCGCTATTACTCTTACTTCACTGAATTCAGACTTACTTTTCAAGAAGGAGTTCCACCATCCTAGGTTTATTAGATGCTGCGGCTTTATGCAGGGGGGTCTCATGGTTGACATTCCGTGCTTCGATCTTGGCATGGTGTTGCATCAAGCATTTGGCAATCTCAACATGACCATTAATGGCGGCAATATGTAGTGGATGAGCAAGATTTGCTCTTCTTGACCTAACATTAGCACCCTTCTCTAAACAAAGCTGTACAATGTCAACATAACCCCCCTCCACTGCTGCATGCAGGGCTGTTTCACCATCTCTGTTCCTCTCATCTAGCATGGTAGATAGTTCACAACTTTTTTCTGCGTGTTCAAACAGAGTTTTCACGGTGTCTAGATTTCCATCAGTGCACGCAAAATGTATTGGTGTCATCTTATCATAGTCCTTGGCTCTAGCATCTGCACCAGCCTCTAGTAATGTTTTAACAATTTCTACGGCACCATCTGTTGCGGCACAATGAAGAGCAGTACTGCCACTTGTGTCCACTGCCTGTTTTAATTATTGTAGATTAGATTTAGGAGTTAGCTCTAGGAGTTCCAGAAAAAAAAAAACCCTTCGGCAATATTATACTCCCAGTTTTCAAAATTAGAGATACCGGAAAATGGGAGCATATTTACAAAAGTCGGGAGGTTTCATTCGAAGGGTATAAACATTATTTATAGGAGACTTTGAAGTTAGAACTGCATACAGTAAACAAATTGTTCTATGTAAAAGAAGGGGTTTCACTCGAATAGTCACACCCGTGTAGGATTAAAAGTTAGAACTACAACTGAATACTGAATCAATAAAAGTACTATACCAAACTCAATAATAATAATCATCATCATCATCATCATCATTATCTTAGATTTACTCTCGGCAGGTATTTATAGCACTTATGCTAGTGGGGCCGAGCAAGTGACTGAAACAAACAATTTAACTCTTTTCGGGACTACTGAGAACAAATCCAGCTACAGTGTAGCGGTCATAGACCGCAAAACAGTCGGTTTTTTTCTCAAAATCAGTAAAGAAATCGGTAAAGCGTGTCGTATTTTTAGCGTCTCTCCCCAGGTCTCGCTCTCTGTTTTCAGCCTCGTTCGAGACCTTTTGTTTGACTGCTCGCGCCTACATACGGACTGTTTTGCAGTCTATAGCGGTCAGGACAGGACTTGAACTCAGGGCCTGTGAATTGCAAGTCCAGTGGTCTTATCGCTCAGCCACGCTGCCTCAGTACCGCTGATGAGGTTTCCTTTGAATGGTTAGCAACTCCATAAGATTTCATACACAGACAAAAGTTAGAACTTCATACATGTACTAAATGAATAGTACCACGTGAAAAAAATGTATTATTGTAATTTGTTTACCTACGAAGCACTTTAGGAGCTTTTAAACTCATTTCATTTTCCAGATTGAATTGGAATTTGGAAGTGTTGGTCTTTGAGGAAAGGGGATAACCAGATTACCCAGAGAAATAAACTCTCGGAGTAGTGAAGGGAGAAAACCAACAAAAAAGTACTGTTGAAGACGTTTCATTTGAATGGTCACGCACGATAGGATTTCATCCAATTAATTTCATCATAAATAATTATTAATAAATAATATACTTATAGCTTTGGCTAGCAAGCTATTATAAATAATAATAATAATAATAATCACAATAATAATAATGATGATGATGAAAAATGATAATAATAATAAGAGTAATACAAAATGGTCTTTTGTAGATCATGCTACAGTTGAGTCGTGATAAATTTGAACCCTCATTATAACCTCACCCCTGTAAACTTGAACCAAAATTGATTTCCCCTGGATTTCCTCCATACATTTACTGTAATTTTACCCTCGGTAACTCGAACCCTCAATAACTCGAACCCCCTGGTAACTTGAACTATTTTTGTTTCCCTTCAGGTAATTTCTACATAATTTTACCCTCAATAACTTGAACCATGTTTAATTAAGCATATGACAAGTCAAAAAAAAAAAAATATATATATATATATATATTTATAGTACACTGCAGTTCGAAAGCTTTCTTGCTTAAATCCTTTTTCAAAATATCCATCAATATATCTCTTGCTGTCCTGGAAGTGAAATGTGCATGATACATGCATTCCTTCTGATCCCATTTGTTCATTTCCTTATTTCTGGTCATTTGCTTAGAACTCCCAACAAAACTCCCGATAACTTGAACTTTTTTCTATTTTCCTAGAAGGTTCAAACTGGAAATCGACTGTAATTTTTTATGTTATAGTTAAAACAACTCACATCAATTTTGATTCCGTCAAACTGCAGTAACTCTTTTACAGCAGTAAGATTTGCTTTGGACGCTGCATAATGAAGTGGTGTCATTAGATAATGGTCTCTTGCATTAACATCTGCTTTACATTGAACAAGGTATGATATCAAGGATTCAGATTCGTCTGCATCATTAACCTACAAGTGAAACAAAATGTAAAGAATTAGCACTACACAGAACCTGCATTTCCCCAAGTTACCCAAAATAGGTCTTTAAACAAAATTAACTTTTAGCAAAAATTTAGGTTCTCTCCTCCATAATAGACCAAGAGGTGCTTACCTGTTTTTCATAATTTTGAATTAACTACTAGCCAGGGAAAAGCTAAGCAGACATATTTATCAGTCAAGCAAGCTTTTTACTTAACTGTACCTAAAAAATAACCCCCATGTTTATAATTCATTGTCCAGCACAATTTGAGCTTGTTAGCTCTCATTCAGCTGGTGAAATTTGTCAACAGTTGCCTCTAAATACAGTGGAACCCATTAATACAGTCACTAATGGGCCAAAAAAATTTGGCCATATTAACGGGGTGGCCATATTGCTGGGGTAGGCTCAAATTTCATGACTTGAGCGCCATAAGACAAATACACCAGGAATACACTGCACATCACATTCACTGTACTGTTTTCATTATTCAACGACCAGAATGTAGATCTATATCGCGTACAGTAATTGAAAAAACGTCTTAAAATTTTCCTTCAGTACATGAAACTCTTTTAAAATTTGGCTATAAATCGCCACAAGTGCATTTTAAGTGTACTGTAGTCTAAAAACAGTACGAGAATAAGCTTAGATTAGGTCAATAAAATTGACATGTCACAGGCATTTTAATTTTCAAAATTTTGAACCAGTGGTCATTTTAATGGGGTGAAATTATAAGGGATTCTATTGTCTGGGATTTTAAAATCTGGCCGCAGGCCATATTAACGGGTGACCCTATTAACATTTTTTTTTTTAAGTGAATGTATGGCCGTTTTGCCAGGCCGAAAAAAACTAGCAGCAATAACGAGGTGACCATATTAACAAGGTGACCATAAGGCGGGGTTCTACGTTAGCTACATCCCAGTCAGCAGCTGGCTATCAACTGTACCTACAAAATTATACCCCCATGTTTTCATTTTCCAGCACAATTTGAGCTTGTTAGCTCTCTTTCAGCTGGTGAAATTTGTCAACAGCCCAGGGAGGGGTACCTTAAGGAATTTTTGGGTAGGGATGTGCCGCTGGGACCCTGGAACCCTTAGCCTATACTACAATACCCTTGCTACCCTATACTAGACTAAACTCCCCAAATCCCCCCTATCCTAGAGTAGCTGTTCTCCAGAAACTATTGGAGTCACTAGCAAAGTCCAGCCAAAACCAAATTGATTTTTTTGTATTTTTGAGTGGTAATTTCCGGTTTCCCTAGTCATCCATTGATCAGTTTCCTGGAAAATGATACCCTATTCTAGACCAAACCTCTCTAATAATTATTTATATACCCCATCCCAGAGTAAACTGCTCGAAAACCATACTCTCCACATTGTCACATTCCTATATACCATATATGGTAGCCCATTATGGCAACAGTTGCCTCTAAATAGCTACATTCCTGTCAGCAGGGCTGTCATTAAGATTTCAAGCAGCTGTATGTAGCAACTAAAGATTCACCCTTAACCTCGCACAAAAATTTCTAGTGCCACTTTCAAACGTGGCTTTTTACTTTGATGAATTGTAATGAGTGACTGACCTCAGCCGTAAACAGGTGTTTGTAATGGGCAGAACGAGTGACCTTAGCCATTACAGGTGTTACAGGTTAAGGCCCTTTAATTTCAGCTTGCCTGTTATTAGAATATGCCACAGGGATCCCTATAGAGAAGAAAGAACTAGGCCAGCATGCTATACAGTAGCCAGACTGTCCAACCATCCCGATCTCGTTGGGATTCTCCCAATTTTGCTGGAAAATCCAGAAACCCGATCAATGTGCGATCGGGGTAGGAAAAATCCCGATTTTATCATCCGATTAATTCTTTTGATACTCAACAAGAACACCTAACACAGTGTTAACTAAAAAACTGATATCCAGCCCTTTAAAAGACTGCACTGTAAAAAAATAAAATAAAATCAAGTATTGGTACCCGAATTCATGCGAACATTGACAACCATGAAAATGACATTCGATTTCAGAAGCAAATATTTTAGACAAAACTTGTCCAAATAGAACACTAGAAATGGCATTTCAGAGCAAGATTTCAAAATTTTCTGAAAGAGCATGTCACCACACCCCGCTAGTGGCTCACTCCTTCGGCGCTCGAGTGATTCATCAGTCATTGAAAAATATCCCGATTTTACATACCCAAAAGGTTGGACAGTCTGTGTAGCTTTTTTCCAAACCTGTAATCCATTTTGACCTGCAGTGAGACTGTTATTGCTTATAGCCTGTGCCAGAGGTGCTACAACAGAACTAACTTCACCATCAGTAGTATCTAATTGTGAGGCTTGCCGATTGGCAAGCTGTCGAGTGGCACTTGAACGAAATCTTGCTGCATAATGCAAAGGTAAAGCTCCATCTTCCCCTTGCTTGTCAATCTCTGAAAAAGTATTTTTAAAAATTCCTTCTAATCATCCCTACGTCTAAACAAGAAAAGCATGAAGAAACTAGTTGCTGATACTCTTGAAAATTATATGGTCTTGAAACAATGACAAATAAAATAATTGTTACAGTACATTTCAATCTTATTTTTCTTCCAATATACTATCATACATTAGAGCCAGATCTCAAAACAAAGGACAACTAGTCGCTTAAAGTCTTAAAATTAAAACTCTTATTATTTTAAGTTTACAAGACATGTTTCAACATACTTGTGTTCACACTGTTATGCTTAGAATATTTTGTCTATAAACTAAAAATTCAACCTAAAAGGAACAGTTCAGTTCAACTGCGGATGACATGCGCAAGTCAATGTTTTTTAACTTAAAAATGTTGTTTTAATTTTGCAAATAACTTTTTCAATGGCTGTTTTCACAATCCTTGAAGGTCTTTGTACTACAGTTGATGTATGCAGACTACCCTAGCTCCACAGGTCCATTCTTGAAATACCTAGGATAACCCTTGAGCACGGTTTGATAAAGCTCAGGAATTAGGAAAGAAAGAAAAAACTCTGGCACCATGGGTAAAGAGGTCTTATCTTTGCACCAGTGCAGTCACAGCTGTTATTGAGTATTTTAAGATAATAAAATAAAATTCTTCAAAGATAACTTATAGTAGATTGGATATACAACTGCAGCACACACAACTTAACATAAATTGAAATCCTGGTTTACCTGCTCCATGCTCAACCAAGAGTTTGACAACATCTACATGGCCATATCGAATGGCATAGTGAAGAGGAGTGATGTCATGCTCATCACATTTATTTATTGCTTTCAAACGTCTTGTATTGTGTCTTCCAAATTTACGAAGCTTTTGTACAATAAGATCAATTTTGCCATCTCTTGCAGCCTATCAAAACAAACATTACCACAGAAACCATAACTAAATAGATTACTAACTGGGATAGAATGTTTGTCAGAACCACATTATCTGAGCCAGTCGTATAGTATAGTACTACTTATAGTATGTCTTTATTGTGCCTTACTCTACAAAGAGAGGCATTGGTATAGTTACAAGGAACATTGAATAAAGCCCTTTCATGGAATAGACCCTTTCATGGTTTATTGAACTTTTGACTGGTCCCAGTTAGCGAAAATCTGTCAACATGGCTGGAAAGAACACCTTAAAATCATTAAATTTGCCAAGTTTGAAAAAGATTTGTTGAAAATTAACCAAGAGATAGTTCTGCAAAGTTGCTAAATTCTACAGACTTTGTATGGTGGAGTGAAATTTCAAGATTTTTATGGAGCAAAGTCTTTTCACTCTCTTCAAATGTATCCCCTTGAAACTTGGTAAGTTACTTTATTTTAACGCCCTCTTTCACTTGCTACTCTTTATCAAAAGTTAAAAAAAAACACAGACGGGAAAATTTCCAACTGCATAGTTTACATTATTTATACGCAGAATTCTTAAATGTATAGCCAGCTGCAAATAACAGTGAACTCTACTAGAACTGCAAATTGAAATAATAATCCAAGTCTCTAGGCGATGAACACAATAGAGCATTGGATCCTTCTGTAAAATATCTGTTTGGAGAAGCAAATACTGCCTAGAATTTTCTATTACTTGAGGACGACTAAGAGTTTCTAGTTGACTCTTTCATTCAACTGCAATTTTCGAAGCTTATCTTACAAATTCCCTACAATTTTCTGAAGTTGAATTTTTCACATTTCACTGCCCAGATTAATAAAATTAAAGGCACCCTGCCTAAAGGCCCACTTTTGAAGCAATGTTGACAAAAGAGGACGCTTTGATACCAAAAACAAATGGAACTCCAAGTTTGGAGAAACTACAAGTGGAAACAACAAAAGACACACATGCTGATACAAGGAAAATGTTATTGTAACTTAACTACTTGAAGTTAGATCGTAACATTTGAATCTGTTGGTCTGGCTTGAACGCATCAGTCCACAAACTCTATTGCTTGAAAGCGTTGATTACTTTGCAAAAAGTGAATACTTCAGTGGTCAAAAAAAAGAAGAGTCTTAATGCGCAAAACTTTGATGTTGAGGCTTTAGAATTAAGGTATCAGATCTGTTATAAACCCTTCCATTTGAAAAATTTATTTCTCAAATGATTAAGAATTTTGCAAAATAAAAATTAAAAAGGCCTATCAAGCGAGAGCAGAGCTTGCGGAAAATTGATATCGGAGGTGTCAATTTTCACACTTAAGGTGCTATTTCCGATTTATATCGCAGGCTCAAAAATTCAATAATTCCACATTTCTGGCTTTCTCTTACCCCCATTTTCAAATAAGCGATTTTATAAGCATGATTATTTTTTGACTTTATAGCAGTTCTAATACCTTAAACTGGTTGGGTGTTGTAAACTTTCATTGTATGCAAATGAGTCTTGAGATGAGGTTTTTTTGGTGGTGGTTGAACTGATG